CCAGTGAAATATATTTATGTTTGTGGTTGTAATGTGACAAAATATGGAAAAGTTCAAGGGGTATGAATACTTTTGCAAACCACTGTATATTTTTACATTTAGTCAGTTGTACTCGTACAGTGTTTATAAGAGAACGTGTTAAAATGCTGTTTCTACGCAGGAAATACCAGGTAGAGCTCAGTTATTTGTTAGAAGTGCTCAGGAATGTGATGTTTTGTGTTTAAACAAAGTTCAGTAATGAGTTTGACACTTCTGATCTAAAGCATGAGAACGTTTCCTTGGAGAGCATCTGTTGCTGTTGTTGACCAGCGACTCTGAATAAACAAACAAAACAAAACAAAAGAACCTGGTTCCGCATGAATTAAATACGTTGGAACGCAGGAGACACGACCCGGCTGCTGCCAGATTAATTCAGTATCACACTCACAGTTGGACACTTCAGCCTTTTCCAAAAGGTAAAGTGTGTTTGATCAGATTTTTGATCAGCTGTCAGCTCTGCAGATTCTTTAATCTGACTGAAAATCACCTGGGCCAGGTGTTCACCTGCAGTCCAACTCAGAGTTGTTTGACCTGAAAAAATTATCTTAAATAAGCTATGTTGAGTGTAAATGTTTCACCTTTTGTCTAACAAAGTGGCAAACTTTACACATGTGGAGCTTTTAATTCCTACACACAAAAAAGTCACGTTAGGTAAAAACTGATGCATTTATATATATATATATATATATATATAAACTGCGTTCATTTCCTGCAGGATAAAATATTTTAACAACAGTTGCAAAAACAAATGAGATCAACATGACAGAGGACAGGTGGTGTACAGACAGGTGGATGTGAGTCTCACCTTGTTGCAGAGTGTTGAGTCCTTGTTGCTCGACTTCAGCAGATGGTTTCCAGGTGACGTGAGTTCTGCAGGGAGAAGGACAGAACCCTCAGACTCAGTACAAAAATCAAACAAACAAAAACGGTTTACAGCAAAAATAATAATAATAATAATAATAACTTACAGGTGTGTCGTTCCACTGCTGCGGCAGGTCTTCAGGTTCAGGTGGGTAGGACATCCAGGACGGGCTCCGGTAGGACGACGGCGGAGACATGACAAAGTAATCTGAGTACCCCGGGCGGTTGGCTGATATAGCGTACACCGCAGTGATGGGGTTTCCTGCGAGGAGGGATAAAAAGAGTTAACCTCACAGGCCTGCCTCTGTTCGCCGCGTGTCGCCGTGCAAACACTGCGTCCTCACCTGAGTAGGTGCTGATGGACTGGTCAACAGAGACGGCGGGGAAGGGCGTCCGGGAGAGCGGCAGGTAGGGGGCGCCGTTGTGCTGCTGGGCCTGCAGCTCTGACGCCTCAGACACACGAGGCTTCAGACTCACATCAGGGGTGGAGCTGTTACTGTGGAAGAAAGGAGACGCTGATGATGATGATGATGATGAACCACATCACTGCCTGGTGCTCTTCCTCTCTTCATGTGATACAGACAGATGAGATTACAGAAACCTTTCATTCTTAAGCTTTTCTTTCTCTAAAAGTCTGTGATGTTTGTGTTTCATACACTCTGTCCTCTACAACCTCACTTCCAATGAAGTTGGGACGTTTAAAACAAATAAAAACAGAATACAAGAGCTTTTTTAAACCTAATTTGAGTTCACTACAAAGACAAGATATTTATTGTTCAAAGGGATAAACTCGTAAACTTGCAAATATTCACTCATTTTGAATTTGATGTCTGCAACACGTTCTAAAAAAGCTGGTAAAGATGAGGAATGCTCAAAAAACAAACAAAAACAAAAAAAAACACCTGTTTGGAGCATTCCACAGGTGAACAGTTCATTAGAAACAGGTAAGTGTAAATGTTGGTTATAACGAGGCCCAGTCGTTCACAAGCAAGGATGGAGCCATGTTCACCATCTTGTCAACAACAGCGTGAGCAAATATATGGAGAACCAAAACTGACATAATTAGAAATAAAATCAAAAAACTTATATATTGACCAATAAATAAATAAACACATTTAAAATGCAGCAATTAAATTAAAAAAGAAGAACTTTATCTCCTGTTTTATATTTTAATTGACTTTCATATTTATTTTTCCAGGTTAGTTCCACCGAATTAGTCTATATATTTGAACACATACTTAAAAT